ATTAATATTATTAATATCATAATTTATTAGGTATAAAAATAATATTGAATAGAATCTATAAATAATATATTATATAAAAATAATATTAAATAGAATATTATACCATATATAAAAAATAACATGCAATTTTTTTTATAATATGTCTGTTTCTTGTTACTTAGTTTATGCTTTTCACTTAAATTACCCAAAATGGCCTTATCTACATAAAAGGCATAAAACGCATTTAGAGAAAATGATCAAAATGGTCCTTAATGTATGGGCTTTGATTCCATTTGGTCCTTAATGTATGGAGTTGATGGAAATGGTCCTTTATGTATCATAAATTGTGATCAATTTGGTCCTTAACCCTAAAATTTTAATGGCAGCAATTATTTTAAAAAAATTTAACTAAAATCGCTACACGTGGAGCGATTTCCCATTATTTTTTAAGCAGTCTTCGCCTCGAGAATTTTTAATAAATTTTTTTTTGAACTTTTTAAAGAAAATGGCTGTTATAGCAGCTATTTCTATTTTTTAAATGTTGTTGGGGTAGCGTTGTTAAAAAAATAAATTCACAACAGCAATTTTAAAGAAAAAAGAATTTTTTTTTGGACCGGCAGCGATTTTTATGTTTTTTAAAGGAGTAACAGCATCAATTTTGTCAGAAGAAAATCGCTCCGTCAGAAGCGATTTTGCCCTTTTGGTTAAAAAAAATTTGATGTGTAATTTTGGAATTTTTGGAAATAGGGGAAGGAAAGTCTTGAACGAGTGCATCTTTTACGTATTCCATGTATTTTGACGGCAAAATAAAATAAAATATTAATTTTAGGGTTAATGACCAAATTGATCACAATTTATGATACATAAAGGACCATTTTCATCAAGTCCATACATTAAGGACCAAAATGGAATCAAAGCCATACATTAAGGACCATTTTGACCATTTTCTCAACGCATTTACATGCGATTTACAGTCTCACATATTTTATTTTATTTCATTTTACTTTTTAAGTTTTTGGAGAGGTAAAGGTGTGTCGACATAATATACACTATTAAAAAATTGTGATTTTTTCATTGAAATTTCTCACTGAAAAATATTTAGCAGTTAGTAGCTGTTTGGATAGATATTTTGATTGAAATAGTGGAAGGACAAAAAAATAATAATATTTTCATACGAAAAAATTTAAAAACTTCTCAAAATTTTAGTGAAAATTTGTTTCCTATTCATATTAAGGAATTAGGACCAAATTAGTCATAATCGGTTAACATAATAAAAATGTAAAATAAAATAAAATATTGGTACGTGATTGGTCAACTTATATAAAATTAAGCCAAATTAACGTACTTGTGAAAAAATGTCTAGCTGTAACAAATACTAAAGGTTGAAGTTTATAACTCCTTAATTATAATATTTGGTTACTTTAAGATAATATTATTTTCATTATACAAAGACAATATTAGTTTTGTTTATCTGCTAAAAAACTAGTAATATATAATGTTCAATCCTCAGCCACTATAAAAATTTTCAAATTTTTTAAGGAAAATTGTCCAATAGGTGTTTTGATGGTCAGTGAAAAAAAATAAAAATAGCGTCAAAGCAATGGAGTTTTCCGAGGAGAGCAGAGAATTCCACTTTTTGATTAGGCGGTTAGAACCTTGATTATGAATAAGTCGTGAATATGAATAGTCAGGAGCGAGGTTGCGAGCTGGCAGAGACAAAAAATCATAGATAAATCAACAAACTTTTTAATATTTCAGTGAAAACTTATTTTTCATTATGTATTTTTAGAGTAAGTTAATTCGATATTATATAGTAACAAAATAATATTTTATAATATAAATTTTTTATTGATTTGCGGATAGAAAAAAATCTTGGTTCCTAATAGTCAAACAAAACCTACTCACTTAATTACACTTTTTTTTAATAAGTTTCATCATTCATGTGATGCACGACTCACAAGTTCTTTTCAATTAGGTTAGTGAATGAGATATGCTTAATTTTATTGGTCTATACTCTATAATATATTATTTGTTTATATAAAGAATTTGAGCATATAATATAAAATTATTTATTTACTATTAAACTGGAATGGTTCTATTGCAACCATGAAGGAGACATCGGGGAGTTTTTAGAGATTGTAAAAGTCATCGAACAAGCAAAGATGATGTTAAAATAATTTTCACCTACTTCAATTATTTAATTTATTATTTTCTCTGTCTTATATTAACTGATTATCTTTCTAAATATTTGTTCCAAATTACTTGATCACTTGCTATAATTCAAGATAGATTAATTTTTTTTTTCATTTTACCCCTATAATTATTATCATCGTCATGCTTAATGTTTCCATAATTTCTCTTTGGAAGCTTAAATAAAATTAAAGTTCCTAGATTTATCTTTTCAAAGATTTCATTAAATACTTAATTACTGAGTCCGGAGCCAAAAGGGCAAAAAAAATTACCAAAAATTCTAAAAGAGCACATCATATTTTTTTAAAACCAAAACGGCAAAATCGCTCCTGCCGGAGCGATTTTCCTCTGACACATATTAACGCCGTGTACTCCGTTAAAATATTTTTGTCTAATTTTTTTCTTCTTTTTTTTTTCACTAAAATCGCTGGCACAACAGCGATTTTTTAACTCTAATTTTTTTCCTCCACCTAATATCACTCCTATGGCAGCGTTTTCATAGAAAAAAAAAATTTGGCAGCTTTTTGTAAAAATTATTTTTTGGAAAATCGCTGCCTTGGCAGCGTTTTCCTTAATTTTTCTTTTCGAAAATCTTTTCTTAATAAGACTGCCTTTTCAGCGATTTTTGTTAAAAAAATTAATTTTTAATAAAAACACTGCCTTGTTTTCAAAACGAAAAACAATTTTAAAAGAATAAAAATTGAAGAGAAACGAATTTTTTTTTAAAAAAAAAAAAAAT